CCTGCTGAAAGTTTATTAGGTCTTACAATGGACTACAAAAGCTTGCAGGGTTCCTTCCAAGCTGAATGATGCTGTGACTTGAACAGCTGAACCATGAACTAAACTTCATCATTTAAAAAACCTTAAGCCTGTCAGAACAGCCCTTCCTATACCGATTCTGGTATATGCTGTCCCAAAGCAGATAATTCAGTCTGAGTCCCTTCTCTTCACCTACACAGAATCCACAGCCACATGGAGGTCACAGGGGTGAAACGGACTGTCATGCATGTGGGCCACAATACACAAAAAAGATCTTCCTACCTGCTCTGCAAAGTACTGGACTCCAAAGAATCAACCAGCTGATCTGCAGACTCTGTCTTTTGGGCTAAGTCTTCATTTTCTAACAACAAACAATATACGGAGAGAGGGTGAAATAAATTTTGGTCTTGAGAATACACAGATAGGAGGAAAACCCACAGCCAACAGTCAAATGTTGACAAGGTCACATGGCTGTGGAATGAAGAGCTGTGCCAACCAGTTTTTCATGTTGAGCTATATCTAGCACCTTGCAGAACAAAGATTTTTAATTGCCTCAACCCTAAGAAAGGACGAACCCGTGCATATTTTTCATGCAGAACCACTCTCAGAAGCAGGGTTTGCTCAGGAATCTACAATCCTCGCTTGAGAAGGACAGAACAAGGCCAAATTTCATCATGTAAAACCAGATTGACAAACCCCTGGAAAAAGCAATCATGCAGTGGTTCCCACAGGGCACTGACGGGATGGAAATTCCTAGGTCACTGCTAAAAGGACTGACTCCTGGTCTCCCTCGAGCCTCCTGATCTTTGGGAAGGCTCTGTCCCCATGCGACTACGGGACACGCTCCACTGCCCCGCTGTATGGTCGCATTAAGGCAGCGAACTGGGCACGGACAAGTTCCAGCTTTTGCAGCTCTCTAATGACACGTCTTACAGCCGCTGGCCGCTTGGAAGAGTCAGTTTGGAGCTGGGAGGCACCTCCAACCCCCAGCAAAGACCATCCGGCTCCCGGCTAGACGGAGCCTCTTTCACAGGGGAAAGCATCCTGTCCCTCATAAACCTCCGTCAGCGCTCTCTCGTTCCACTGCCGGGAAGAAACACCGGGAACTGCTGCTGTACTTTCGGGCGCTGGAGCAGCGGGTGAGCCCAGCACCCCGTTCACAGCGGCGTGAAGGTCCCCGCAAGCGCAACCCACTCGGTACAGCAAATGCTAGCCAAGAACTAACGCCCGATGCTGCTCTTCGCCGGGGGTCCCCTATTTTCACCGAAGCAAACCGCCACCGTGGAAATTTTCACCCGAGCAAACCGCCTGCGTGGAAATACGGCTTCTCGGGGAGAAAGGAGGAAAACCATCACGGAAGAGAAATTCACGGCGTTCTCCCCGGCTAAAATACGCGTCCCCGGGCCCGCAGCCCCACGGCCGGCAGCCCCATAGGCACTGCCTGGCAC